ATCTCTCTCCCGTTGCATCCCTCAGAAGCACGGTAGATTCCCAATCAATGAACAAGAACCACGACGACCATGACGGCCATGAAGCCCACGACACTAGGAACACCACGACCACTACGATTAGGACGACCGCGAAAAAGTGGACGACCAGGAGACCACGAAGAAACCACCAGGAGATCCAAAAGATCAGTGCTTCCATCTCCGACAGCGCATTATCGCAAAACATTGTCTCAACAACTACTTGCAGTACCCACGAGCACCATATGGAGCAGGAGAAACCCTAAGAGAACACAAGCGTCGCCCACTCTGCAAACAGTCTGAGGATGGCAGCAGCAACAGCAGGTGACTTGATGATCGCTTGGTAAGCATCACTGGAAAGCATCCACAATGTGGTAGCTTCAGAAAACGCGGGACTCCCAAATAAATTGGATCCGATGAGCTCCCCGTTATAAGGCTTTGTAGGTGAGGTACTCTTACTGTTTGGGCCCGCAAACAGGACAAAGCACTATACGCCCCAAATGAAAACACAATGACATCCACCAGCCTCTCTTTTAAGAAACTCACAACACAACCCTCCATGGCGTGGCGAATACTTCCAGGCCTCTACAGAACCCTTCCAACCAATGGCCAAAACATGGGGGCCTCGCTGGCTTGCAGTTCCTTCGTGGAAAGGCGGCTCGCCTCAGGCGATGCCTCATCCACGTGGTCCTGAACCAATGCTCATTACTAGAGATAGTTCTTTAGTTCGCTGGCCAGTCAGTCAGCCCTAAACTCTAAAGCCCTTTTTCTTTTCGCACTTTCTTTCTTCAGGCGGTGGGGCCTACGAAGGATTTAAGGGTTTAAACGTCCATAGCGTCATGAGGCCAACCTGTGATTCAGGCCTAATTTTGAGCGAATCCAGCGGATCAAGGCGGCCAAGGCTGATCCATCTAATTTCTCTGCTGCGCCTGGTAGTCCTGTGGTCACTTCCTAGAAACTTACCTTTGGTTAGTAGGGAATGGACAATTATAACTACTATTACTACCATTCTTCCATTCCCTACTAACCAAAGGTAAGGAAACTCGAAGTCACTCACGCCTCGTAGCCCTCATCTTGCGAGTCTCCGAGGAGGTCTCGGCAATGTTTTGCCAAACCTCTGTGGCTCTCCGCTTTCGGAGTCTCAAAGCAGAGAACCAAAGTGTATCGGAGGTGGTGCAGGGGTGTCAAGCTTGATTGGGCTAACGCTACTCTCCCGCATTCACTCAGGAACTTCGACTCTCATGTATTCACTCGCTGCCATCATATGTGCGATTGAAAGAATGCGAACCCATTGAAAGGAAAGTCTGGCTGCAATCAGCAAGGACCAAGGTGACCACTGCAGAGTTCCGGCCATGAACTTGTCTAGCCAACACGATAAGCCCTGCGAAGAGTTCCAATCCCTGCACCCGATCCGAAGAAGGAGAGAGCCGCATGGTCCAGATAGAAAACACGCACGTTTCAAAATACCTTGCAGGTGAACCACCAGCCTGAAGCTTCACCCCGAAACTCCTATACGTAACCCTTCCAGAACCCTATACGAACCCCATGGGAAACCTGCGAAGGTCCAGTTTATTGTCGCGCTGCGCTCTGCCAGTTCCATCCGGGTGCCTTCGGTGCTAAGGCCCTCCTGCAGGTCTTGTTTTGTTCTCGTAAAATTTGGAAAAAGGCTTAAAAGAGGTAGCATAAGGGTTTCTACACAAGGTCGTATTATTTCGTATGAGGGCCACTTTGTTTGCTTTAGAAGAAATCGAAAAACACGAAGCCACTGAAGTTGACAGGTGCAGTAAACGACTGCTGCCTAAGCATCAACAAACCATGCGGACGCGGTCTCTAAATTTTGACCCTGCGCACAAAGCTGCAATGACGGTTGAACTGCAACTACTGCAACTACTGCAACTACTACTACTACTACTACTACTACTACTACTGCTCCTACTGCTCCTACTGCTCCTACTGCTCCTGCTACTGCTACTGCTACTGCTACTGCTACTGCTGCTACTACTGCTACTGCTACTGCTACTGCTACTGCTACTGCTACTACTACTACTACTACGACGACGACTACTACTAGTACTACTACCACCACTACTACTACTACTACTACTACTACTACTACTACTACTACTACTACTACTACTCTTACTACTGCTGCTACTGCTACTACTAATGTATAATACTACTACAAAGCTAGTAGCAGTACTACTGCTGCTGCTACTACGCCTGCTACTACAACTACTACTACTACTACTACATCATCATCAGCATCAATCACAGCAGTAACAACAGCAACAACCTAAATCACGGCAACACCGTGGCCGTCACCAATATCTTACTTCTTCTTCGTTATCATCGCCCTCCTCCTACTCCTCCTCCTCCTCCGCCTCCTAGTCAATATCTCCATGATCATGGCACAGAATAAGCAGCAAACCTTGCTGCTGTTTAGTAGGCCTTAGGATCGGGAACGGTAACAGCTGGGTGTCCCAAAGGACCTTCGCCATCTGATCTGCAACTACCACCCGTGTGTTTGCGTCATGCAAGATCAGAAGACAGAAACTTGAAATACTTGCCGGCAGCATACAAGAGCTTGGTGCCCCGCACCTCCCGACAGGCCTGCAGCAGATCGTCCTGCAGAAAATGACGTGAAAACAGACCCTGCAAGATCCCTAGAACCCTCCAACACTCTTGATGCCCCTTCCATTCTGGTATTTGTAAGGTGTGACCTGGAATCAAAGGCTCGGATGCTACTTTGGTTCTTGAAGCCTGGATGGGCGGAGCAACAGGGAAAGCAGTTTAACCTGCATTGCTGCGTATGATGGCCTGGCTGCCGTACGCCCCACTCTGACACTTCCTACTGCATCGTCAGTGTGCGAGTTTATTCAGCGTATACACTATACCCTGAACTAAAAATCACAACAAAGTGGGACCCGTACTGAACGCAGAGTCCAACATATGAACAGTCAAAAACAGGCAAGCCTAAAATGCCTCGCCACAATCATTAACAGAATTCGGCCGTGATACGAAGGCATAAAGGACATTCATAGGCGAGGACCCTGACTCTGAGGCCGAACGGCGGCCTGGACTCGCGGGGCTCGGAAGCGGGACCTAGGGACCTTGTCGCTGCGACAAGGCAAAACCCATCCTGCCCGTGATTCACAAGCAGGTCCTTCCGCTGAGAGGCGAAATCCAGTTTATCGAAGCGCACAGTCTTCTTGCGGCCAGTGCCCGTGGTGTCGGTGTAGCGGACCTGCATCACGAACTTACGCAGGCACCAGCACCATCAGTATGGCTAATGTTTATTGCCACCATCGTCAAGAGCAACATCATTACATGCACATCGTCTGGATATCGTTGTTTCTACTACCATACCACCCAAAAAGTCATTCACATCTCTGTGATTAACATCAACATCTTTTATCCTCCGACTGTGGCATTACAGACTCGCAGCCTCTGCTACAACCACTGTCACCACCACCACACCGAGGGCGAAAACCTCGCCACGACGACGACGTGTCCTGCTGCAGCTGCTCCTGCTGCTCCCAGTACTCCCAGTACTACTGCTAGTACAGATACTTGTACTATTACTGCTACTATTACTGCTAATTACTACTACTACTACAACTACTACAACTACAACAACAACAACAACAACAACAACAACTACTACTACTACTACTACGACGACGACGACGACTCCCGCTGCTGCTGCTGCTGCAACGACTAGTACTACTGCCACTGGTATTGCCAAGCTACTGACTGCTGCTGCTGCTGCTGCTGCTCCGACGACGACGGGAGCAACTACGACTACTACTCCCTACTTCTAGTACTTGGCCATCTTGACTGCCAGGACGCCCTCCATGCTTATTCCTTGTCAATCGCCAAGCAATGCCCTCAACTTGTAGTCCGGCTTCACAAAAAATGTATTCTCTGCTTCGAGTTCAGTGTTTCTTAAGATGCATAGACAATCCCAGAAGCACCCGCAGCCGCTTCTTGTGAGAGTCCACGCGCTCCTGGCTCTCCTGTCATAGGGGAGCCTTAATTATTAATCAGATTTCGGAATCGGGGGTATGATACAGTCTCTCTCTCTCTCTCTCTCTCTCTGCCGTGCCATCATTATCATGATACACTTAGGGTCGAGAAGCTCTGATGTGATATCCAGGCACTGGCCCAACAAGCAACTACAAGTATCGTTTGAGGTTAGTTAGACGTCCCTCTCCTTTGCAGATCTTCAATTCCTGTGATGATTCGGTTTTACTTCCGAGGCTGCACCACTACTGACAGTGCTGCTCGACCAGGTCCTGCCTGCCATTCTGGCTCTTACTGTTTGTTTCGTACTGTTGCTTCGAGTCGTTGCCTCTCAGTTAGTTTCTGCGAAGCTTGTTGAGGCTGCCATGTCGAAGCATGTTCCCCAAACCCTGAGCCTGTGCATGAGCGCCATAGTCCTGTCCCCCTTCTTGGAGCGCCGAGCGAAGTTCCAAGGTCAACATACTACCATGAGGACTGAACGCCGCCGCTGTTCGTTGTCTCGAGTGCCGGGAAGGAGGAGCGGTCTTGCGGTTTCAAGCAAAGGTTGAAGGGAAACGAGCCTACATAAACTTCCAAACACGACACTTTTTGTTCCAAGAGCATATGCTTGGGTGTGGCTTAATTCCGGCAAGAAAAATTGATACGCAGAGGCCACTGGCAGCTTGCTCCCGTTTAGTGAAGTGTCAGCTTTGTGCCCAGAATTCGCTCGCGACTACTGCAGGATATAGACCAGTGCCACCAATTAGAATCAACCAAACTGCTCGTGCCATAGCGCCGCGTTTCAGGACAGGCGTGGGCATTTTTGCCCACACTCAAACGTGTCTAGAACGTAGTCACATGACTCTTCGAATCCTAGACATCTGATGCGTAAGAGCTCCACTCCTACAGTCCTACAGCTTCTGGCCTTTGGCCTTTGGCTCTTGCATGCTTTTTAAGGGCCCTTCCATAGGGCCTTTCATGGCTCAAGCAGAGAAGGCATAGGCTTTTGGAGGCGAGTGCGCCTTGGCGTCGAGGCCCATGTCCTCGGTGTCCTCAGAAATTCGCAAAGCTCCCCACCACTTCAGAAGTGCAAAGGTCAAGGCCGAGATCGTGCCGGCCCAGGCGATCACCATGAGAATCAGGATGACTTGTGCACCGAGGGCTGAACCGTTGATGCCCGTCTGGCAGGCGCCGTTGTCATCCGTCATGCAACCCCAGCCACTCCAGCCATGGAAGTGATCGAAGCCCTTGCCCCAGTCGAACAAACCAGCAGCCAGCACACCCCAGATTCCGCAAAAGCCATGAACCGGGCTTGCATCCACAGGGTCGTCGATCTTCAGCTTCTGTAGGAGCATGGACGATCCCTGGTAGACAAGGGCACCGACGAACCCGACGGCGAATGCACTGCCACATTCAATGTTCCCGCACGGTGCGGTGATGGAAACAAGCCCTGCCAAGATGCCGTTGCAAAGCCCACCCACATCATACTTGCGAAGGATAATGTAGCGGAGGAGGAAGACAGTGATACCGCCCGTGGCTGCAGCAATTGTGGTGTTCATGGCCACTTGGGCCGCCAGTGCACCAGTGGCACCATCGGACATGCCCAGGGTTGAACCCGGGTTGAATCCGTACCAGCCGAACCACAATGCGAACGTTCCAAAGACCACGAGCGGAAGGTTGTGAGGCTCAAACTCCTCTGGGTTGACAAAGCGCCCTTTCCGTGGCCCCAGCACGACTGTTCCGGCAAGTCCACTGACTCCACCGGTCAAGTGCACGATGCCACTACCAGCAAAATCCATGACGCCGACATCCAGAATGTCTCCGAGGAAGCCGCTGCCACTCCAACCCCAGTGCACGACCACAGGGTAGATTAACGAGGTCATGACGAACGCATAGCTGGCATATGTTGGACCCTGGACGCGCTCAGCAACAGCTCCGCTCACGATCGTGGCTCCAGCTGTGCAAAATGCCCACCTGGGTTTGTCACAAACGTAGTGTCAAATTTTAACAGCATCCATTTTTTAGACGAGCCTTTTCCATCTGCCTGAACGTCCAGTGGGTGTGTCTAGCGACCAAAGGTGATTGTACAAGCGGTAGTTTGGCCCGAACTCCGAACACCAAAACTTTCAACCATAAGGAAAACCAAAAGCGTCCCAAATCGGTATCTAGCCACTGGAAAAACCAGGCCAGTGCCGTGCTCTGGCAAGCATTGTTGGCACAACCTGGTGCCAGGATGTTTCCGGATGCATCTTTTGTGTAGAAACCTTCGCCAAGGAAGTTCGTCGTGCCAATGAACCGGTTGATGCCGCCCCCATAGGCAAAAGCGTATCCAAGAACCCACCATCCAAGAGTGCCTCTGGACTTTGAAGTAAGCAGGGAGAAAAAATTATAGACGTTGATTTCATAATGGTTCCTGAAAGGAACAGGTACCCCAAAAAGTATTCAAGTATGGTACCCCAAACCCAGGGCCTACGCACACGTTGACCAAGTTCTTCATCAACACGTTGGACGCGTTCTTGGAGCGACAGCATCCCGTCTCCAACATGGCGAAGCCGGCATGCATGAACATAACTAAAGCACCGCACAAACAGAGCCAAAGAGTGTCCATGGCCGCCCCCATGCTCCCGTCGGTCGCCTCAAGAGCGGCTTTCTCCGTTGCCCAGGCAGTCGCTGTAACGTTGCCCACGGTCTGAAGTCGCCGCTCCTCGTCTTCTTCCAGGTTGGCGAGTTGGAGGAACTGCTGTTGGATGATCGTGCGCTGCTGCTGAAGCTGGCCTTTGAGCGCCTCGATTTCCGAGAGAATCCGAGCGCGCTCTGCATCTTCGCTTGCGTGGCTCGACACTGCGAATAGCGCTAAAGCTGCAAAGCTTTTCATGTTGGGAAGTTGGCACTCCCTGGCCGGGCGATGCTTCGAGCTTCAGCAAGTTATGAGCCAGAAACGCTCGAGACGCGGCCATTTTGCCTGGGTTTGCATCCACTTCTTCATGAGCCTACAGTACCACGTAAGGCCTGCAATCACCCCTTTTATGCGAACTCAGGATCCGGAGCCTGATCCCAAACACCGGAAAAGGTCTCAGTGCTAAAACACGATTCACCGGCTCCTCGTCCTTCTTCTCTCGGTGCCGGCGCCTGCGCCGAGGATCTTTGACGCGCACCTGCCGAGCGTGGATCTAACGCAAAACCTCGGCCGCCTCGGCGGCACTTACTTCGGGGTTGAAGTTCTGAGGGGTTCAGAGTTCAGGATGCTATCTTCGATCACAGTGAACTGCGGGAAACCCTTATAGCTCATGCAAAATGCTCCAGTCTGGAGCGACGGAACAAGGGAACCTTCCAGTCGTGTTGATGTCTGACAGGGCCCATGCAGCCGTTCCGAAGCACGCTTTATTGCAGCATGGCTTTCAAAATAGACATAACATCAGTAAGAATGCTATAATGTAATCATTGTAGACATCATAACAATAAGAGTCATAATAAGAAGAACGGCCATGCCAACAAAACCTTGCGAGCCATGCGAGCCTTACCCCGCTTCTTCCGATCCCCCTCCTTCTCCTTGGGTCGCTTCCGATCTGCTTCGATTCCCCTTCTGGGCTTTCTGGAAGGCTCCTTGTGCAGCTGGGCAGGTTTAGAATATCGCCCATGTCCTTCCTATGCGATGTACGCTTTGCCAGAGTTATCCAGAGTCTCTATGCTTCCTATCTAATCCTCAACCTGAGGTTGAAAACAGACATTGCTCCGATGCAGGAACTGCCACTGTTCCTACGGTTCGGTCAGTGGTCAGTCGTCGGACGATCGACCACCCCAACAAGGCTAGTTCATAAGCACCAGCATTGCGCAAGCTACGTTGTGCCTCTACTGCCAACCTTCGAAACCCGAAGCATGGAAGCTGAATCTGTGTGATTTGAATGCAGCTGTCCCAGTTGATGGGGAACAGTGGGGTTGGCAGACACAGACACAAGGAGCAAAGCAGGCACAGCAGCAACAAAGTAGCACTACATCCGGCTTTTCGTGGGTTCAGATTCGCCGTTGTTTTGTTCTCTGATGAATAAGAACACGATCGAACGGGCCATGCATCTAGTCGTCCCACAATGCACGTGTCAGGTGAGGGCCCGTGTATGTACTCCATCCCTGTATGGTTCCGCAATTGAAGAGGCATATCCGAGAAGTTTGGGCAGGCTGCGAAGGATGGACATTTCGGACCCTGGCCACACATGCGAGTACACCTAGGCTGATGCGGCGAGCTTCTTTGCTTCTGGTCAGGCCCGTTGCCAGTCGGGCCATGCGGCGCCGGAGCCTTCTCTGCTTGTTGGTTCGCAAATCCACCTGGACCACAGCACGGACCAGTTCTGTTTGGTTGCAGAGTTGAAAGGCTTTATCCCACTGACCACGGCAGGCGAGCAAGCACATCACAGTCGCTGAAGCAAGATGTTGAATCAGGCACGGCAGAACATGCAATCTCAGCATATGTGCACGCATCATACATGCATGTTTCGCAGCCGCTGACACCAGTACATATACGTGGAAGTATGTATACATACATATACATGCATATACATATCAACATACAGCCATAAACATGCACAGCGGCATATACGTACACATGCATACGCCCACGCATGCATGCACACATGCATAATTTCTTCATAGACGCATACACATAAACATGCACCCATGCATGCAGACAGACAGACATGCACTCATGCATGTAGACGGACAGACAGACAGACAGACATGCATTCGTGCATACCTACGTACGTACCTACGCCCGTAGTTACGTACATACATACAATACATACATACATACATACATCCGTACCCACATACATACATACCTACCTACGTACATACATGCGTATACATGCACTACATGAACTGAGCACTCGCTGTCTGTCTGCGTGTCTCTCTCTTGCGACCCTGGAATAGCAGAGAGAAGCCGTGGATCGAACTAGCCTGTCCCAAACTGAACTTCCTCTGCTGAGAAACACTCCTGGCAAGGACACTTAGCTTTTTCAGCTACGACGCAGAACTGGCAAATGACACTAACGGCCACCCCGTAATTAACGGCCTGACTCACTGGGGAGTTTCCGAAAATACGGGGTACCTTATTTTGGGGGTCCTTTTAATAAGGATTCTACTATTTAGGATACCATATTAGGGTCCCTTGTTGTCGGAAACTCCCACTGCGAACACCCTGAACTCAACCAGCATCCGAAAGCCTCGCCAAGGAGGCTTTAAACCCTTATCAGGTACCGTAAGCCGAAGCAATCTGGGGGTTTCCGAAAACAGGGGACCCTAATAGAGTACCCTAAATAGTAGGATCCTTACTATAAGGACCCCAAAATCAGGTACCCCTAGTTTTCGGGGAAACTCCCATCTGGGGCTCGGGAGAATCTTCTTGTACGGGCAAGTCTTCCGGGCTTCACAGGGGAAGTCTTCTGATGAGGCGATGTGCCACGAAGCCGTCTTTGCCCACTGTCTTCTGGGGAACGATGCCAGGTCCAAGTCCCAACCTCGCTTCAGCTTTGTGATCAGCCAAAAAAGCCGAGAAGTTTGCCAATCAGCAGCATCAGCCGCAGGGATCATAACAGGCTCTGTCACGATGTTTACCGTCATCAGCATCAGCATCCTCTTAACTCGTGGCACCCACCACATCACCACCGGCATCATCATTGTCCTCGCCTGTGCTTGCAGCGATGGCAGCTGCAACGGACGGCCAGAAGTACTCCCCTCGCCAGGCACTGTAGTAAGGTCTACCTGCACATCCGAGGTCCCCCGACAACCCAACTTCAAGTGAACGAGCCACATCTCGGCGAAGTCTCCGGAGACATCCTTCGCCGAGATATACCGGATTTTCGGCTTGGAGAAAGTCACGACCCATCCTGGAGGATGATACCTGGCTGGTCCATTCAGTACCCGGGTATACATGTCTAAGCACACATGCACACACACACACACACACACACATGCTCTCAGCCGAGTTCTCTCCAGAAGCAAAGCAGTGCTGAGAATATGCTACAAGTCTTCCACACGGCCTCAGTCTGAGGCGACACCAACATTTCAACTTAGGGTCGTCTTCTAAGCCCAAAAAACATGTCTGCGAACACCAAAGCACTTGATGTCTGTCGCTTGCCCTAAGCAGCCGAAGCACGTGCTGCTCGCGGCCCATAGCACAGTGCAAGGTTCTAAAGGGGAAAGCTCCGAAAACAAAAGGCCAACAACCACGATCCAAGGGGCGCGACGCGTCCGATGCCTGCTGCGCTTTTCCTGATTTTGTTGGCTCACGGTCTAGTGCAGATCAAAGAGGCATCAGCCACAGAATTGTAGTGTAAACAGACAAGGACATTGCGAGGATGAGTCTACAACTTATTCAAATCCTGGTACTACACTAGCAAATGTACTACTCTTGGTCCTACATCGTACCCGAAGAAGACTGTACTCTCTACCCCGAATCCCGGCCGAAGCAGCAAACCTCAACCCTGACTCAAGTCCATGGAAGCTCTCAGCCCTGAACCTCAAAGCCTGAATGTTGCAACCCGAGCAGAGCCGAGCTTCTCCTTTGGCTTGGGCTTGGTGACGGACGTCACGAGATCCGGGAAAAGCTCTCGGAGCCTAGCAGGAACGGCTTCTCTGTCATTTTTTACCACCCGCCTGACTGACTAGGACGAAGCAGCGCTCGGGGGCGTCTTTCGGATTCGGGGGTTTAGGGTATGTTCGGCCCGAGCTCACTGAAACCCATCACATAAGATGACATAAAACATCGTTCAATAAACCCGGCACACTCTTCTCTGTCCGAGGGGCTGCTTGGCAACCTGTGACTCCAGTATCTCACGGGGATGGAGCATGGCCGGTAAGCTTTTCCGGGTCTCGTCCTCGATCACCTTTCAACACGACATCGCTAAGAAGAACACTACAAACTCCTGTTGCATGGAGTCGAGCCTAGATAAGCCATGCCGTGGAGGAATCATGGCAATCACACTTCTGCTGTGACAGCTTTGAAAAGCAACAGACATGCAGGTGTCCCACTGCCTCTTTGACCCACTCCCACACTCTCTCGCTCTCACGCTATCTTTATCTCTCTATCTATCTCTCTCTCCCTCTCTCTCTCTCTCTGCCCTACTCAACAGCCTCCCGAAGCTCATTGATACTGCAAGCAGAGGTCTCGGTCAAGCTGTCGGCATTCGCTCATGACTTGGCGCTTGTGGTCAATTGAGCCGTCGACCCTTGCCGACTGGCGGAGGCTTAAGAAGGCCGTAGGTGCAGGACACCACCCCGTGTTCTAAACCATCGGATTTCCCTAAAATAGAACGCCGGCTGGAAAGGTGCGGCCTTGCCTTGTATTCGGTGAAGGCTGATGCGCAACCACCGGGACCCTTGTTAGCCTCAGGCTTATGGGCTTGCGGGGGTGTAGTTCAATAAGTCTGAGCAGCCCATCGTGGCAAATGTCATCAGAAGCGGTGGCAAAAAGCTCAGCGCACGCACAACGCATCAGAAACAATCCGGATAATGCTTAAATCCCAAGCGGCCGAGCCAATACAGGTGGAGGGGTCCATGAAGTACCCAAAATTGTTATCAGGTGGAGCATAAATACTCTTGCATACATAAATACTCTTGCGTACATACATACACACATACAGACATGAACACATTCATGTTTGTCACTCGCACTCGACGAGTCAGGCGAGGTTTACTGATTACATACATACATACATGCATGCATGCATACATGCATGCAGACATAATTACACGCGTCCATGAATTCATGAAACGACACATCCACATGCACATAAATGTTTATATATATATACATATATATATATATATATATACACATACACATCTATACATCTACACACATGTATGTATATATATATATATACACACACCGAAAATGTGTTATATGAGGTTGTATACCTACATACAAACAAACATGCATACATGCATATATGCATAATTACATACGAGCTCATGCACACGTACACACGCATACATGCACACGTACACATACACACATACGCACAGACATGACATACAGAAGACAGTCAAACAGACAGGCCTACATACCTACATACCTGCATACGTAGACGTTGTACATCCGCACACACAGCATACGTAGATAAAAGCAAGCAAACATCGATACATACATACCAGCATGCACACATACATCCAAGCATGCCAGCGTAAATCTCCAAAAAGTGATAGAGCACCACAACGACCATGACGAGCACGACCGCCACGAGACCAGCAGGAGACCGCCGTCACACCCCGGTAGGCTAGGATTCGGCTCGGCGGGAGCTAGGGCGCTGTGGGCCCAGGCCGTAGCGTACTCAGTCTGCCCAGTTGGAAGTTGCGGAGGCGTGTCCGGAGATGCGGAAGTCTTTTGAGGAGACAGCCCCCTGACACATGGTACCCCGAAGCGTGGGCAGGATTCAGGAGCTAGGCCACAAAGTTTGATTTAAGTACTCGCGGCCATCAGGACGACCACCATACTTTCCCCCCAAGTACCGGCGGGGTTCAGGAGCACGGCCAGTACCCTGAACGCCGACGAAGAACTCCCTCATATCATAGAAGATATGTTGCAACTCTTCTTTATGTTGTGACACGACACTGCAGGAGCCCTGATTGCGATTATTTTCGGTATTTTAGGGATGGTTCTGAAACTCTGGGCAAGGATCACCTATTCCAAGAGCTCGGCAACCGTCTAACAAGAATTACACGGCTGCTGATGCAAGATCAATGCTGCGTAGATAGCAAAGAAGCGGTTTCTGGAGCCCTGCAGATGTTTTAGCACTCCTGGTCATTATCGAGATGTGTCAGAGCAACACAGCTAATCGTCGTTGATAAGGAACCTTGAAAGACACATTTTCACAAATGAGAGGAAGGCTCTTCCAGCAGTTCTAGTGGTCGAGGAACGGATTTTGGCAGAAAGCTGTTGTGTTCTGTCGATTGAAAAGAAGCTCGTCGAACTTTGTACACGAACCAAAGACATATGAGTAATTCACATTAAATATGAGAAAGCTCGGTTGCCCCTCGATGAATGTCGGGTTGAGTGGTTGCCCACAGGCTGGTGGTTGCAGAAGCATCATTCCTGCTGACCCCCCACTTCTCGATTTCAGCTTTTCGCATGTACGCAGCAGCAAGATATGCAAGGCAAGGTATGTCGTATATCAAGATACTGCGTGCTGAAGTGCGTTGCTTAATCCCGGACAAACCGGGAGGTTCGGACATTCGATCCGCCCTAACCCCATGATTGTCGGAACTCGTGATGAAAGATCCCTCGGCCATAATGTTGGGCAATGCTTGGAGTACAGCCCTTTCGGACTGGCGATTCCCTGAGTGAATAGGTTGGAACTTGACCCTGCTTTCTGCGGAAAGAAAAACGAAAAAATACGAACCAGAAGATACATTATGCTGTCGGATGATCCTTTTCTGCTTCTTCAACTTCGGGTTCCAATTGGCAGAATCAAATGAAATGAAAGCACCTGCTCATTTACACATATATGTAACATTGCAAGTATGTTGTGTATGTATACATACACACACAAACACACGCACACACACACACACACACACACACACACACACACACACACACACACACACACACACACACACACACACACACACACACACACACACACACACACACACACACACACACACACACACACACACACACACACACACACACACACACACACACACACACACACACACACACACACACACACACACACACACACACACACACACACACACACACACACACACACACACACACACACACACACACACACATGTATATATGCATGCACATGGATGTATAGTCACATGATGTCATGTGGTAGGCATGTGTATATAGGCCCCAACTGCTTCCCAGGATCGGTCTTCACTGCGAGGTAGTCGCAGCGCATACAGCGCTTACCAGCGACGTAGAGGCGAAGTATCCGCTCGTAGTCCTTCTCTTCGCGGCCAGAACCCGACGTCGAGTACGAGTAATTAGGGATAATCAGGTTGTGCGGTTTTCGTTGTGGGGTTTAGGCTCGTAGGCTGTCGAGAGTTAAGCACCCAACTAATCGACTGACAACAGCCGGTGTTTCCCGTGTGTCTCACATCCTGAAGACGGTAACCTTCCAGTCCGCACGCCAAAGACTGCTCCAGTCGGGCGCAAACTGACCACGAAACCCGAAATCCCATCGGCTCCTATCTCCTTCCAGCCCTCGCTTGACATCACAAGCCTCTGTTTACGAAGCTATAAATTCCAGAGCCAAGCTCTCAGGGCCTCGAACAAACATCCATCGTCGTCCCTAGCATGGAGAACCGGGGTCCTCCATAACGGGCATAGTCAACTTCATCTCTGCGCCAGGATTTTTGTACCCCATCATCTGGGCGGTTGCCTGTCCCCCCGATGATTTCTGAGAGTCGCAAGATGCCTCAAGTTTTGGCTGTTGTCTTACACATGCCGACTCTACTGCAAACTTTGAAGAGGGCGCAAGTGGCGATCCACTATCTAAGCCTTTGGAAATTTTGGCGGGCAAGTCCAACCAAAAAGCCTGTTCCAAACCCGGTCCATCTAGAGCAACAAGCACGGACATCACTCATGCAGAACAACACGACGTGACACTTGGGCTCTGGTAGGCTTTGACAGGCCACGCCCACCTTCGTCAAGCCGGTGGAGTAGGTGCGGGAGAGCATCCAGGGATTCGACACTGGGTAGACTCCCCAAAGAACGCAGCCTTCGCCTGGGCGCCGCAATGCCGACAAGGGTCGTGGATGCAAATGGGGTCACAGTGCAAACGTGGGCATGCGCGTGAAAGACTCTGTTTCCCCTTGCGCTTCGGAATGACTAAATACTGTGTGGCAGGAGGTCAGCAGGGGTTTTGCTATAACTTTTGTGGCTTGCGGATAGGGACAGCACTTCAATCAATGCAGTCCCCATCCCTTAACCGCCTTAACCACTCTGAAACGATAAAAACTATATTGAACCGTTGAAGCAACTCACAGTCTTCTCGCAACCACGTCGCGGCTGGCCACCTCAAACCTCGCTGGCACTTGATTTGACAGCTCCGGGCTCCGTGGTGGCCCTCATTCTTCCCTTAAGGGGCTCCTAAAAAAGAGACCAAGTGGGATGCCATGAACTTTGCACCGCTCCCAATACCAACCAGAAATGACTGCACAAGAGCCAATTGCAAATGCCCCTTGAATGCAAAACAAAAAAACAAGAAGAACAAATAAGTCTTGAATTCATCCCTTCGGGCTACTACGTTAAACAATCAAAAATCATTCTTAAGACAACCAGGGAAGCAGATGGTCGATAACGCCTGGCAGGCTTGATACGGGAACGTCCACGACCTGTGCCGACTTGTCGCTGCGCACTGCTCCTGGCAGGGCTGTCTCTGGAAATCAACAAACCGGCTTTCTGGGAGATTTAAACATTTCAGACACTTTAGCATGACCTTTGGAGAGGTTCTGGCAAAATCGCGTTTGCGGGGTTTGGATGTGTTTGGGACGCATGCTGGTTCTTGGATATTCAGTAACCTCAATTCGGGATAATTCAGGTGCCCGGGGGCTCCTTTCTTCTACCCGAAACTGGCTTAACCAAAGGTTATAGAGGGGTTGCTCAAGAGTCTCTCCTGGGGAGATGTGCTTGGGGTAATAACAAAGGCTTGGATGTCTGGGAGATCGTGCTACAGTCTCAATGCACAATTTCAGTGTGCAAGCGCCAGGGAGCTGCTATTTCTGTTGTTGTACGGCCTTTTGCTCCTAGGCGCTGCCGAGAAGATTTGTGGCTGTCGGCTCGCCGGCATCCAGCAATTCCCACAGCCAAGCATGAGTGCTGCAGCCCAGGTGAGTCAGTGAGCTTGCGCGGCGGTCGCAGAGCACAAAAACCACAAAAATCAAGAAGAAGGGGGCAAGAGCAAACAAGCGGCCTTATCAAAATCTTGAGAGCAGCTTCTGATCTCGCCTACAGGTTCCACATCCTGATTTCAAAAAAGCGAGACCGTGGCACAGGGCAGCACTGTGGATCAACATGCGTAGAGCACATGATGACCAGCTGACCCTGCTCTGTTCTTTCTGTCATGTAGGGCTTACTGACATATCCAGAGCCGGAAGCCTTGCTATCTACCGCAGAGCGACTGCTCATATCCTGAGCAGTGGAGGGGAAAGACCGCCTTCTATTTTCAAGAGTCTTGCGGTTGCTCAAGTCTGACGATCAGTTGCAATCTAGCTTGAGACAGAACTGTCCAAAGTTGCCGAGTTTCGCTAATTTTTTTCAATGGAAGAGTGACAAACATGAACGGCCTCTGATGCTGCACCCGAACAAGGGGCTTCGAGAAGCTTTTGGAGACTGAGTATTTGGACCGGCTGTCCAGGCAAAGGCTTGCTCTGCAGCTCGGTATTGCAACACCCCTTGTCTGAAATATCTGTGAAGTTCAAGGGAACGCCAAGCAAACCGGTCCTGTCGAGCAAAGCAGCCCTTTGATGTCATCGTCCATCTCCTGGGCTACAGCACGCTGCAGTACGGCAGGCGGGTCCAGCCATAGGGGCTCTCCCTAACTATGGCCACGTCGACGTCCTCATCATGACAGAGACCTATGCATGGAGTTCCAACATCGTGCTGCGATATTGGTCGCGACATGCTCGTCCTGTGCTTGCAGCAATCACACAGAGACTCCGTTCACGATGAGCAGTTTTTGTCTCATTTTAGAGGAGAGTACCATCATGATAACCAGCTTCAAGGAAAGTGCCGATCGAAGAACACACAGGAAATGAGTCCGAGTCTCCACAATGCGGGCCCCGACTGGGAAGAAGTTCATGATCTTGTTCCTGGTCGATACAGTTCAAACGACTCGTGCTCCGATAGTGAGAAATGCCTAGGCCTGGAAGTCTTGTCAGCATGGAGACCACAGTCAGTGTGCGCCTTCGTTTTAGTTAGAGCTTACTGGAGAGGTGGGTCTTCATGCGCCTCTGATGGCATACACCCTTGGCGCCCTCGATCACATTGACACCGTGAGGCTGCAGCAGCTTCTGGTACCTGCATGCACTGTTTTCGCCAAGCACGTCTCGACAACTGATGCGGCATGGGGGCGCCCACTTACAAGTGTGACAGCTTCTGAACCATATCTGTTCGCCATATCGTCAGCAAGCACAGGCAGTGGCAATAAGGACGATTGTCAAGGCGACGGTATTTGCACATGGGGCGACGGTCGTCACGTCTGCAATGAGAGTGACAGTGAATGGCGGGGCAATGCAGAAGCCAGCACTGATGATTTTGTCGTCCAAATAGTATGGGACCAAAACTTCGGCGGTAATATTTGTAAGACCGGTAAGAGCAATAGTAAGTCCACAGCAGTGAGAGGTAAAATCATTATGTATGCGCAGCAACACTGAAACAAAAAGAACAACGGGCACATCTACCACACAGGTCAGACCATACAACAAACCCTCAACCCTAAGCCTCTGAACCTTTTGTTTTTCAACTCGTCCTGTTTTCCTTAAACTTTGTTGAACCAAGACTCTGCCGATTAGCTGAGAAGCAACAAACCCGAAACCCAATGAACGCCAAACCCTCATCGCGTCTCAGGCGCTCGTGATATTGGCTCGGGTCTGCGAAGACAAAGATGCGATTGGGCGGGATGCCAGCAGAAAGCACCAGATTCAGAGTATGTGAGCCGATGATTCCTCGGACTTACAGTTTCGACGCTCACTGTCGAACGAGTCGGTTGAGGGTGAAACCTCCGTTTGTCGTTGCTTGCGGTGAACAAGAATCCTTCACTACAACGTCCCATGCGGCACTATTTACTTTTAGAGGATCCTGGAGTTGGGTTTCGGGTACAGATACAGAAACACAGTTTAGGACTATGGGCTCTGTGGAGTCTCGCAACTCGGACTGCGAGGGTTCAGAGTGTTTCAAGGGGGATTCAGGTCTCACGATTGCTTCAGGACTCACGCTTCGGCACGGAGACCCCCAAATAGTCAACGCAGGGGTCTTATCCTCCCTTGGGCTAGTATGTGTGTCGGTTGCAACGGGCCAGCGAAGTTCGATGAGTTTTCAGGTCCGTCCTAGAGTCCTAGAGGTTTTTTTTTTCGAAGTTCACGCACTACCAGGTTAAGGCCTGACAGAAACTTCTACAGTTCACATCGCGCAGCTATGCATCCTCAAAAAAATGAGGTGTTGTTGCGTCTGGGACGCATCAAGAATCGTAAACAGCCTCTTGCAGGAAACGCCCGTTTCGCGAGGAGTTAAGTTCGGGCTTCGAGGTCGACTCCAAACACAGGCCCGCAAGCCAATACCACGAATTAGGAAAACTTCGACAAGGGGGAACTTCGAAGATTTGATCTCAAGAAATGGATGAATGGATCCACGAAACAAGTAGTCAAAGCAAACAGGCGGACATGTACATGCATCTGACCTACGACCTGAAATCCGCGTGTAAGCCTGAAAAACTGACAGAGCACGCAGCCGATCGAAGGTAGGTATGGCCACTACCCATTGATCGGCAGGGGCAGCCATGGCAAATGAGAGCTCCGTGCCACTGCATTGGCAAGCGCAGCAGGCAAAGACGGGTGACGAATCCCCGAAGGCTTCGGGGTGAAGGCTCAGCTTCAGCTTGGGACCCCACTTGCCATCGGTTTCTGCGCTTAGCTTCCATCGTTTCGCAGAATTCTTGCGAATGCACTTCCAGGGATCATCCGGGACAGGGTTAAGCTCAGTATTCCTCAGGGCGTAAGAGTAGAATGTTTTCGGGTTCAGGAGGTCGGGGGTTTAGAGCTTAGGGTTGGGCGCAGCCTCAGCTAGCCGAGATGGGGTAAAGAAAAGCCGTAACATACAGATGTGCATATCCCGCACAGGGCCTAGGGCGACATCCATGCTATGTCAACAGTCTCATCCGGCAAGCTTCAGCAACACGGTTAGCTGCAACAAAGTCGGCTTCCTAAGGGCCTGCTCTGCTAGGCATGGCCTACTCAAACATTGATGTGCTTCTGCATCATGACTGTCATCGCTACCGCGCATTACGCATCGCCGCAGACATTGCCTCATTGTTTTAGGAAGCACATTTGTGCCCTGGCAGCTGTCATTACAGCTGCCGCTTGAGCGTCGAACCGGCAAGCAAGGCTAACTGAGCAAGCTTCTGAACTGTGCCCTTGAAGCTTAGTTCAGAAGCTGACCTCCATCAAAGCCTGATTTACCGGGAACATGTCACTGGAATCAGCGTTCAAAACCACGCCTTCGACATGCCTGTCCTTCTCAGTAGACTAGCAACACGAGACTCGGGCTGTGCTGACATGAGCCGGGTAACTCGTAGATGTCCCTCTTGCTTGGCTCTGGGTCTGAGACTTAGGTTTAGAGTAGGGCCAGGGTTCCAACATTGCGCCAGGAGTTGGACACACCAGACTCTGCAGGGCATTTCATGAAAACTGTAAGAACATAAGCACCCATGCACACATACATTCTAAACGCAATAGAAACACGAGTTAGCGCTGGGACCAAACATGTCGAACAACCATGAAAGCCTCAGTCGTACCCGAACCTTGTAAACGTGCGTAACAAACCCCGCCGCCCCGGACGATGCCCCACCGACTAGCCTGAAACCTCTCCTGACCGTCTGCAAAACTACACATGCTTCCTCCCAAAAACCTTCGCAATTCGAATACCAATCCTTGACGCACGACGCACGTTGTAGATGTTGGGTTGCTCAAAGCTTGTGGCTACCTGCGTTGATCTCCAAACCACTCTTGATTTATGAAGCTACTTGTATCGTGTGGTTCATAGGCCTTTTCGTTGATCGAGAAGACCCCAGTCTGAGAGCTAAGGCTCAAGCACTGCATCCGTGGTTCAAGAAAAGCCCTAGTGCCCAAGCCCGAGTGCTGGCTTGCAGAGCGCACCGAGCTCAAGAGTTCATGTAGTGGTTTGAGGAGTCGCCTACACGCCCCAACACTCAATACCGCGAAATCTATGCCCTTAGCGCATTCCAGCCGGAACCTCTCCCCGACACCAAGGAGCCCTTTCCTCAAAGACCTTCATGGCAGCATCGGCTGCTGACTGTGCTTCGACAACTGCAGGCCGCCTGGCATGGCTCAAGCGTGATTCTGCCCGAACATTTGCATAAGACTTCAAGCCGCACCATGCCAAACCCTTTTGAGTTACGTCATTTTCGATTTTCGGTCTAGCTGAGAGAACAAGAGGCTCTCCCCCTGACCAGGAGCCCGCCCATCAACGCGCCAAGTCACAAGCAGGCCATCGCAAAGAACCATATAGGCTCTGACGAACACAGAAAAGGCTCACTGCGACTTGCAAGGTCTGAGTCTGGACTTCGCTGCCCTTGTTGGATGCTTCCTGGGGACCCCGAGCCAAACTCCTATAGACCCTACACCCGAAAAAGGTCCTTAAACCATGAACCCGAGCTCCATCATCAAAACCTGCACTTGTTCCAAGGCCCCGGCTCGAGATACGTCTCGCTCATCACAAGCAAGGCCAGCGCCGTTAGCCTCGCATCTGTCATTGTGCAGACCATGTGGCTCTGAATCCTAGGCTGGGTTCTACACTTGGTTGCGTGAGTGCATCCAGCAGTACAGCCAAAATGAGCTAGGCACGCATTCAAGAGATCTTGTTTCGCTAAGGCTAAGGGTAGGTACCATGTGCCTCAGGATTCAAATCTTGTCTTGTCTCCTGTGAGGCTTGCTTTTGGCGCACTTACGCCAGGATTGAATTGATGCGTGCTCAGCAATCATGGGGGCGGAGGCGGCGCTTTTCCCACCCAGCCACAAGACTGGTCAGCTGCTGTGTTCCTGAGTCGCAGCTCCGACCTGCTTCGAAGCGTTTTTGGGCCTCAAAGAACATTTGTACGCGCCAGTCGTTATGAGCTTCAGTTGCTGATCGGGTTTTGCTTAACACATGTTCACACATACAGTATACAACACTACAATGTTCACGAAAGAGTGTATGGCTTGTGCAAGCTATTCGAGCTGAATCGGCGGGTGGGGCGACTTGCAGTTCCTTTTTTCTGCATGTAGATTCGTAGATGATATCAGGTGTATGTGTCCGTTCGCATAAGCCCCATCGTCGACCATGCTGATTGGGATTTAGTGTGTGTGTCTTTACACGGATTTAGTGTGTGTTTGCATGGATTCGGCGTGTATTTGCACGGATTCAGTGTGTATTTGCATGGATTTGGTGTGTATTTGCACGCATTTCGTGTGTATTAGCACGAACTTGGTGTGCATGTGCACGAACTTCGTATGTCTTTGCACGGTTTAATGTGCATTTGCACGGATTTGGTGTGATTTGCAACCCTTATAATAGCGTTTCTTAAGTCTCCAGAGAGCCCAGAGCTTCAGGTCACCCCAAAATCTCGATTCCGGGTGGGGAAAGGGCCCAAATGACGTCCGCAGGGATTGAGCCCCCAGCCTTTGCGGGGAGGGCTTTGGAGGTAGACGTTTACCCATTAGGCCATGGCCAGATAGTTCTGGGGGCTGGCGGCTGCCTCCCTAGGGGATTTGGGCACGGTCGCAGGCCCAATTCTGGCGGTGTCCCCGTGGGCCCTTTCCCCATCCAGAATCGAAATTTGAAATGACCAAAAACCGCCAAGAGCACAACCAAACCCGCCGAAAACCGCGCAAACCCACCAAAACCCTCCCCGGTGCAAGTTCCCAACATCAACAGCAGGTTGCAGAGGTTGAACCAGCAGGTTGCAGAGGTTGAACCAGCAGGTTGCAGAGGTTGAACCAGCAGGTTGCAGAGGTTGAACCAGCAGGTTGCAGAGGTCGAAGCTGCAGGTTGCAGAGGTTGAAGCAACAGGTTGCAGAGGTTGAACCAGCAGGTTGCAGAGAGGTTGAACCAGCAGGTTGCAGAGGTTGAACCAGCAGGTTGCAGAGATTGAAGCAGCAGGTTGCAGAGGTTGAAGCAGCAGGTTGCAGAGGTTGAACCACAGCAGGTTGCAGAGGTTGAACCAGCAGGTTGCAGAGGTTGAACCAGCAGGTTGCAGAGGCAGAGGTTGAACCAGCAGGTTGCAGAGGTTGAAGCAGCAGGTTGCAGAGGTTGAAGCAGTAGGTTGCACAGGTTGAACCAGCAGGTTGCACAGGTTGAACCAGCAGGTTGCAGAGGTTGAACCAGCAGGTTGCAGAGGTTGAACCTGCAGGTTGCAGAGGTTGAACCAGCAGGTTGCAGAGGTTGAAGCAGCAGGTTACAGAGGTTGAGCCAGCAGGTTGCAGAGGTTGAACCAGCAGGTTGCAGAGGTTGAAGCAGCAGGTTGCAGAGGTTGAAGCAGCAGGTTGCAGAGGTTGAACCACAGCAGGTTGCACAGGTTGAACCAGCAGGTTGCAGAGGTTGAACCAGCAGGTTGCAGAGGCAGAGGTTGAAGCAGCAGGTTGCACAGGTTGAACCTGCAGGTTGCAGAGGTTGAACCTGCAGGTTGCAGAGGTTGAAGCAGCAGGTTGCAGAGGTTGAACCTGCAGGTTGCAGAGGTTGAAGCTGCAGGTTGCAGAGGTTGAAGCAGCAGGTTGCACAGGTTGAACCAGCAGGTTGCACAGGTTGAACCAGCAGGTTGCAGAGGTTGAACCAGCAGGTTGCAGAGGTTGAACCTGCAGGTTGCAGAGGTTGAACCTGCATGTTCCAGAGGTTTGGTGGGCTTGCGCGGTTTTGGGCGGGTGTGGTTGTGCTCTCTTGGCGCTTTTGGTCATTTCAACATTTCGATTCTGGATGGGGAAAGGGCCCAAAATGACACCGCAAGAATTGGGCCTGCGACCTCTCCCAAAACTACTAGCAAGGTGCGCAACCTTTCGCAAAACTATCTGGCATGGCCTAATGGGTAAGTGTCCGGCTCTAAAGCCTTCTTGGCAAAATTCGTGGGCTCAATCCCCGGGGGCGTCATTTAGGCCCTTTCCCCACCCGGAATCGAGATTTTGGGGTGGCCTGAAGCTTTGGGCTGTCCGGGGACTCTCTAGAGCGGACTGGGTGCACATCCGGCTTTCGTGGGGCAGGTTGCAGAGGTTGAACCAGCAGGTTGCAGAGGTTGAACCAGCAGGTTGCAGAGGTTGAAGCAGCAGGTTGCAGAGGTTGAAGCAGCAGGTTGCACAGGTTGAACCAGCAGGTTGCACAGGTTGAACCAGCAGGTTGCAGAGGTTGAAGCAGCAGGTTGCAGAGGTTGAAGCAGCAGGTTGCAGAGGTTGAACCACAGCAGGTTGCACAGGTTGAACCAGCAGGTTGCAGAGGTTGAACCAGCAGGTTGCAGAGGCAGAGGTTGAAGCAGCAGGTTGCACAGGTTGAACCTGCAGATTGCAGAGGTTGAACCTGCAGGTTGCAGAGGTTGAAGCAGCAGGTTGCAGAGGTTGAACCTGCAGGTTGCAGGGTTGAACCAGCAGGTTGCAGAGGTTGAACCACAGCAAGTTGCAGAGGTTTAACCAGCAGGTTGCAGAGGTTGAACCAGCAATTTGCAGAGGTTGAACCAGCAGGTTGAACCAGCAGGTTGAACCTGCAGGTTGCAGAGGTTGAAGCAGCAGGTTGCAGAGGTTGAA